GGGGCGCGTCGCGGCGTGGAGGCGTTTCAAATACCGGCAAACAACGTCGAAGACCTCGTTAAGGCCCTTCTCTGGCTCTTCTTTCTTCCTTTCCGCGAAGTCGGGGGTGTCTTTCTGAGCTCGCTCTGTGAGAGCTCGGCGCTGTTCGGCCCCTTTACCAGGAATGGGAGGTTGGCGCTGTCCCCATGTTCTGTGAGGGATGCGAGGTGCCCAGTGTCCCCAGGGCGCATCGGGAGTGCTCGCCCTGGGCCGCCTGCTGCCTGCTCCATCCGTGCTTGCGTTTTGGGAGCCAAGCCCTGAGCTGGGTCGTTCAGCAGACGCAGGCTTGGGCACCTGCGCTAGTTTGGTTCCCAGGGCAGCCCGTGTCGCTGACCCGCTCGTGCCTCAGCCAGCACCTGAGCCCGCTGCCCTGTATGCGGCTGTGGGACAAGGCCTTCCTGGGTGCTGCATTTGTCTGTGATTCTGCCCTCTAATTTCTGGTGTGGTTGGTGACATGCTGCTGTTAACAGCATTTCCATAGCATGAAATCATATGCTAATTGGACAGACATGTTAGGGGTGCGTGGCTGTTTTTAAGATATCTTCCTGTTGAGTGGTGGTGGTGTTTGGCCATCGTTGCACTGAGCAGCCTTGTCTGGCGTTAAAATGAGCTACGAGCAAGCGCTGCTCGAGGAGAAGGTAAGGGGGCAGGAGGTGTGGACATAGCTGCTTCCATGTAGCCCAAGGTTTGTCTACTGCCCCCACTTGTACAAACTTTCATCTTTGCAGGCTCGTCAGAGTAATGGCTGTGGATGTGCCCCCCAACACACCCTTTCTATGGGTAACGCTCCTTTGCATACTCGTACTGGACACATTCATTTTACTGTATATGTCCTGTTGCTTTTCAAGGCGCTTCCTCCCTGTTGTCTGAATTTAATGCTTATTTAAATTTATCTCCTTAGTAGAGAAAAAATAAATATTCAGGAGAAAAAAAAAAACACACAGGGAGTTGAATCTGTTTCAAAGATGCTGAGATATTATATTATGAAAGTATCTTTATGAAGAGAAAATATTAGATACTAAAAGGGTCTTCAGCTTAGCCAGGAAAAAAATAACAAGAATCAAGACTGAGAACTTAAACTAAACAAACTCTGTTTAGAAAGAAGATAGGGTTTGTTGTTGTTGTTTAGTTGGTTGGTTTTGATAAGTGAGAGTAATTAGCTGTTGGAAACAAATGACCTGGAGAAACTGGTGTTTTTTTGTTTTTAAATGATGTTTGGATGCTTTTTTGGAAGATACCCTCCATGCTTAATCAAACTCAAGTGAATGGACTTGACAACAACGTAACAACGAAGTTACACAGCAAATCAGAATAGATTATATATGATGACCCTTTATAGGGATAGATTATCTCATGATTCTTTGTGAATTTAAATCCCTTCTCCTTACTAATTAAGATTACAGTGCAAGTGAAATACTAATAAGAGAGAAATTCAATCATATATGGAGCCATAGCTTCTGCAGGAAGGTGAAGAAAGAAATGGAAAGTAAATGATGCAAGTTTTAACAGGACTGCTGATCTATAGTGGCTAGGAATTTAGGCCTATGTGAAATGTGATGATTTATTAAAAGCCAGAACTATTATTATAGGTCTTGAAAGCATTTATCAGCTAAAATGGATCTACTCAAAGATGTGCCTCATCTGGAAATGCTCACCGGCAAGTTTTAGGTGCAATTTTAACCTTGTTGGCAACTACACAAATACATGAAGACTTCCACACCAAGAGGTCTGGCTTTCTGCACTCTGATATGGCAAGAGTATGTCAGGCAGTTTGAGAATGCAAGGACACGTCCATACAAATAATGGCAGGATATGTGAGAAGACTGGTAGGCAATCAAATGAGAGAGAGAGAAGTGTAAAAATGCAATGGAAAAAAAGAGGAGGAAGGAAAGGATGATTTCCACAGACTGATAAGGTGAGAAGTGTCAATACACCTGTGGACTAGGCAGTACACCAGTTTCTAAGGAACTAAAGCACTACCCAGTGGTGATCTGAATAGAAAAGCTTAAAAAAAAAAGATTGGTTTTTCATATACTTTGCCAAAAATTGAGCCTTACTGATTGGTAAAAAGAGAACAATTACAGTGTAATACACTTATTCAGATAAAATATATCTGCTGGAACACATAAAGAAGGTACCAGACAACACAGTACCTGTGGGCATTATCTTCAGGCAGATGCAATCGTAAAACAAAGGCAAAATAATATTAACAAGAAATTATCTGAACTTGAGAACTGTTAATAATTTAGAAGTGTAATAAAACAGCATGCTGATCCTAAGAATATTCATGAAGGGCTGTAGGAGTAAATCAAGAAAGATTTCTTCTGCAGTTATAATGTTTGGCTGACTGCCCAGGCAGTAAAATAGTTCCCAGAAGGAACAAAGAACTAGAAAAGAAGTCCAGAGCTACAAAAACATGATAGAGATAAAGCTTTAAAAACAAAGAAGGGAGAGACACAACTACATAGAAGGAAAACAGCTCTTTTAGATACAACTGTGGATGGTCCAGCTGAGAAAAAAAATGCTTACTTCATGTGCAACTGCTTTTTTCCTTTTTTTCTCTAAAGAAATATTCAGCAAATGTAATCCTCTGTAGGCGAGCAGGCTTGGCCCCTTTCTTTCCTCCTGAGGAAGGTTTAAGATCTGGCTGCTTAGCAGCTGCTT